AAGTATGACATTTAAAAATGTGTATTTGTCTATTTGGCAGCATATATGTTGCTTTGTGTGATAAATCTGGTGGTGATAGTTGGCATCTTTGAACAAACTTAAAACTTAACTTATTAGTTAATCTTGTGCTACAACTACCATGGCTACTACCAGAAAAGAAGCGGTAGTTTAAGTCTAAATTATTTTGTGCCATCACAATATTCTGACCTTGCAGCTTTCCTAGAATAGTCAGTCAAAATTTTATCCTCTCACAAATGCACTCAATTTGTCTTGTAACATTACTTTGAGGGTTTTAATAATACCTAGAGTGGGAAGGTTGTCAAATTAGTCTCCCCATCAAAAATCTGTATGTCTAAAGAATTTGGGTAAGTGATTTATGTTAGAAGCATTGCCAGTCCTTTAAATGTTATTTATTGTAGGGTTCTGGAGTATTTTTTAATTATGGTGAATGTCATAAATACAATTCTTAATTTCACTCTAAAACAATTTTAGCAGGTGTGTTCTGTTCTTTTAAATTCATTAAACTTATTTAGAATTAGGTACCATGGTAGTTGTAGAGGCATAGATGTTGAGTTCTCACCCTTGTGATTGTTATTTTATTAGAGACATTAATACCACTTTGTAAGCATTTTGGGGGGGCCTACTAACTGTTCAACCCCAGAAAGCCTGATTACTTCTTGAAAACATTCCCTTCTATTTGAAAGCTCAATTAAAAGAATATCATGTATAATATGTGCACATTGATTGACAACTACAACAGACTGGGAAAGGTAAGAAATCCTGAAGCTAATTTTTTTTTATTTGGATGGGTGTAGAGGGGGAAGGAATCATTCCTTCTGAAATACTTAATTGTAGGCCTACAATTTAGATCTGTGGGCAGTTTTAAGTGTTACATGTCAAGGCTTAATAGGAATTTAACAAGTTAGGATAGAAATTATTTTATTGAACACATATATACTTACTGTGTTCCAGATACTTTTCTCAGCCTTTTGATAATTTGTTTAATAGTTGTACTTTGTGTACAATTTTGAGTTCTACAACATTGTTAGGCTTGATACTCTTTTTATGGGAACTGAGTTTAAATCATTCCAGTTGAAAATATAAATAATCCTCTGATTTTTTCCCTAC